CTGCAGCCTGACCTTCGGCCCGTCACGTCGATGAGGCCGCCGCCCTATCGGCGAGGGAGCCGAGAGTGAGCTGGCCGCAGACGCAAGCTGGCTGCGCCAGTCGTCCAGTCGGGCTGGAGAGTGGCCGAGGGACCACGTCCGCACGAGCAGGCGGCGATGGTGAACTTTTTTATTCGGCGTTTCTACATTGGGCGGAAGGGGGGGGGGGGGAGGGGAGGGTCTGGCTCCGGACCTCTGCTTAGAGCGACTGTTTGTAAGAGTGCGGCCTGTGGGGTAGGGACTCCACCCGCTCGAAACAGGCGCCAAAAACAACCAAGGTCTACTCCAGGGAGGGGGTGGTGGGGGGCCCGCGCCGATCGGCAAAGCAGTGAATAAAAAAAAAAAAAAAACGATCACATGTCTGTTTCCTATTCACGTTCGCAGCTGTGGAAAGGGGCAGCGGAGAAGAAGATGGGGCCCGCGACCGAATCAGTGAACCCTCACCTCCCATCAAAGCTGCAGGCGGGACATCTAAACCCGACGGTGCCGCAAGCTGGTCGCAGGCGCAGACCGGGGACGCACTGACCCGGGTCAGTGCAGGCCCGGATCGGTCGGGCCTCGCAGGAGCCTGCGACATCCTGCAGGACCTGGCAGGATCCTGCACCCAAGCCCGGGTCGGTGCGAGACCCGGCGAGATCCGGCGAGATCCGCGAGATCCGCCGCTCTGACCGACCTCCGTTGGCAAGATCGGCCCTGCAAGATCCGGCGAGATCGGCGAGATCGGCGAGATCGGCCCTGCAAGATCCGGCGAGCTCCGCCGCTCTGACCGACCTCCGTCGGCACCGGCCCCGCCCCCATGAGCCCCGTGCAGACGGCCTCTGTGCGCCGTCTTCCGACCGGGCCGGAGAGAGAGGCCGAGGGGCCCCCCCAAATCTCCGACGCTATGACTTCTTTGTTTTAAGTCGGGCGTGTCCCCCTACAGGGGATGTTCGACTGAAAATAAAAGATGGAAATATTCAAACATTGTCAAAAAATATCTAAAAAAATCCCCAGGCTTTTTGTTTTAACTATTTTTGGATATTCCTCCTGTAGAGGGACAGGCCCGACTTAAGACTTCTTCAATGTGGGTCGTTCTCCTCGACCTCGGCCTGCGGACACCTCACCAGGCCCTGGGACGATCAAGAACTGAGCCGGGAGGCAAGGCTGCTATTCCAAATCCCTTCTTAATCGTCCCCCGGGTCCGGTCTTTTGAGTTGCCTTATTTGTGACCGTGGGGGTCCGGTTTATCAGGGCATTTTCTTTGGATAGGAGCTTAAGGGGTCCAGTTTATGGAGGCGCCCTGTCGAAGAGGGGGGTCCGGAATATTAGGTCACATTTGGAGGGGGGTCCGGTTTTTAGGGGGGTCGATTAATAAGGGATTTGGAGTACTCCCGGGAGGGAGTCGGGAGCTATCGCCGCGGATTGGAAAGGAGCATATCGGAGAATGACTGGGGACGGCCGCACACGGTGGCGGCGACTCACAGAAGCGAGCGACCCTCGCGTGTCGCCAGCGCCCCATCTGGACTACCAGGCATCTGGCCTTGCCCTGCCCTGCTTCGAGATGCCTCGCGTCCACAGCCACGTGCTATCTCGCACTCGTCGTCGCTGTGTTCCGCGCAGGAGGATCACGTCGAAACTGATCCTGTATTCACGGCCGATCCTGTTTCACAGTCAAGGGCTTGAAGCAGGCGAAGAAGATGACGCCGATGTTCGTAACAGCGCAGGCCACGCCAGCGCAGGCCGCGTCGGCATCGCCACTGTTTTTCCCATGCTGATAGTGCACGTGCTGCTTTGGGGGCTAGCCATACTTGATGTGGATTGGCCATGCTGAGGAGGAGGCCATGATCTCCTGCCCCTGACAGGAAGGTATTTGCTGCCCCTTTTGTCACATCTCTCAGCCACACTTGCAGAGCTTTGACTTGGAGCCAAATGCAACACACGGCATTCCTTCAGAAAGCCACGACACAAAGGCTCCCAACACCAGTTTTGCTCACCCCCTCTCCGAAACGCGCTTACCCTTCGCACAAACCAATCTGCCACTCTGACCCCTGGCACGTTGCGGCGTGGCAGGACGCCAAATGCTGTCTGGTAAGGCTTCTGTGATCTTCTAAAGGACCCACTTTCCCCGTCGCACCTCGTCGCGCGCACCGGCCACACTCCGGGGGGGCCCTGGGGCGGCCATGGCGCCTCCCTGGGGCTCTCCATGGCTTCCACGGCGGCCCGGGAGGCCCACAGGAAAGTCCAAGAGGGCCCCGAGTCGCCGAACGAGCGCTCGAAGACGCCCAAGATGGCCTCAAGATGGCGCAAGAGGCTTCCAAGGCGCACCAAGAGGCCTCCGAGAGGTCTCCCAAGAGGGCCCCCAAAGGCGAAAACCATTGGTTTTCCTCGCGTTGTTGAAGGACTACGGCGTTCTCGCCTTTTTGGCTTTCAGACGCTCCAAGACGGTCCATAAGGCCTCTAAGACCACTCCAACACGGCCCAAGAGGCCTACAAGAGGGCCCCGAGACGGCCTAAGAGCGCCCCAAGAGGCGCCCAAGACGGCCCAAGAGGGCCCTAAGACGGCCCCAGAAGTAGCCCCAGAGAGGGAACACGAACCGAAAATCCGAGCCTTCCGCCCCAAGTGGTTCCCAGGAGGCCCAAGAGGCCCCCAAGAGGCCCCCCAGAAGCCCCAAAGAGGCCCCCCAGAGGCCCCCCAGAGGCTCCCAACCGGCCTCAAGCTGCCTCCACGAGGCCTCCGAGAGGCCTCCTACGAGACGAGATTCCAACGAACATCCACCAGGCTTATAACCCACAACCCAGGCACGGTGGCAGGACTTGCCGTAAGCAGCTGGATCATTTCTCACTGCTTCAACCGAGCTCTGACAACACCAAACTCCGCACGCGAATCAGAGACGGAACGAACCAATGGCAGTGCGGCGGGCAGATAGAAACAGGAACAGAGGGAAAGCTCCTGAGCGTACACTCCGCGACAACTCTCTCTTCTCCGCTGCCTCCGTGTCTCGCGAGGCTGGCTGCAGATCCATCACCGGCCTGATCACCGAGTCCAAGCCGTGGTCATGGCCCCACGAGCCCAGCTGCTGCTCCTGGGGGAAGCAAAAGGTGCCGATACCGCTACTTGTCGCACCTCTCCCGGGGTGCGTTCTGACCAGGATTTCGAAGCGAATCCAGCGGTGGCAACGAGGGCCTCCGAGGAGGCCGAAAAAGGGGAAACGGGCGAAGGTTAGAGGTATGGGTACCCTTTCCTCTTCTGAGCTCCCACGAGCCCAGCTGCTCCCCTATGTGGGAGCGGTTCCACGTCTCCCGGGCAACCCTGCCGACGTCTCCGAGGGTGATCCGAAACGGGGCCGCCTCGCCGCAGTAGCACAGCCGCGCCTCGCCGCGGCGGGGCGGGGCAGAGCAGTCGAAGGTGCCCAGCTCGCGGTCCTGGCGCACGCGGCTGCAGCTGTGCGGCCCCCAGCTCGGCGAGGACGTGCCTGCGTAGGACTCGTCCGTCTCGTCCGCGCACGCCACGGCGCTGGTGTTGCCCCCGAGCGCGGCGACGAGGGCGAGGACCTCCCGAGGCGCTTTCTCTTGGGAGGCGCTCGGAGGCGCTGCTTCCTGGAGGCCAGAGAGTCGGTGTAAACCCCGATGTATCTCCCACAGCTCCAGAGGTCTCCAGGGAAATCTAGAGAGAGTCTTCTGTTGATCCCATCGTATTCGAGGACCACATCCCAGAAAAACAAAAATCGAGCACCCAGAAAAGTGTCGAAAGAGTGTCGAAGCAGTGTCGAAACAGTGTCGGACGAATGTCTCCCAGGGTCCGACACGTGGAAAGCCTTGCGTCTTGGGGTACTTCTCTGGTGCTCGAACTTCTTTCTGGCGATCAAGGCTAATGCCGGTTGGAATATCATAAAGCGAGGAGTTGGCGCTCAGCGCGAATCGAGGGAGGCAGAATCGGGGATCTTCTGACCCGGGTCAAGCCAGACCCGGGTCAGTCAGGCCTTCCAGAATCCTGCAAGATCCTGCACTCAAACCCGGGTCAATGCGAAGGATCCGGCAAGATCCTGCAGGATCCTGCACCCAGACCCGGGCCAATGTGACCCTGGCCCTGCAGGATCCTGCAAGATCCGGCGCTCTGGCTGACCCCCGTTTGCATTGACCCCCATCGCAAGGCTTCCGACGAGCTCGGCCCGCCCCGGCGGCGGCGGCGGCAGTTTTCACCTCGGGGGCGCCAGTGGCCGCCAGGGCGGCCAACATCTCATGCAGCCTGGACGGTTTCCCCCCCGGGCCCGTAGGCGACCCGAGGAGGGGAGGGCGAGGAGGGGGAGGAGGAGGAAGAGGAGGAGGAGGAGGAGGAGGAGAAAAAGGAGGAGGAGGAGGAAGAGGAGGAAGAGGAGGAGGAGGAGGAGGAGGATCCCGACAGAAGTCGCTGTAAGACCTTCGCGACTTCGGAAGCTTCCGGTCGCCACGGCGGGGCGCGACTCGGGGGGCCAGCGCCAGGGCGGCTCTCGGAGGGCGGGGTTGGAGCGTATGCTCAGGTCGGGCACGTCCCCCTATACAGGCGGATTCTGGACGGAAAACTAACAGATGCCCAAACAAAACACTCAGGAAAAAAAAAAAAAAAAAAAAAAAACTCACCAAAATAGTTCCCAGACTATTTGTGGACTGTTTTTGAGTGAATCTCCCTCCTGTAGAGGGACAGGCCCGCGTATGCTGAGAGGGGGGGGGGCAAGGGGTGCCAGCCTTCCCTCTCAGAAGGCAGGGGCGTGTCGGAACGGTCCCCGCCCCTCTCTGGGGGGCTCCGAGACGCCCTCCTGAGGACAGGGCGGCTTTCAAGAGGCGGGATGCGTCTCTGAGGGCCACCCCCTTCTGCGCGCCGTCGGGACCTTTTTCGAAGTGTTCACGTCCGCGCGGTTGCTCCACAGCCCCTCCTCCGTACAGGACAGGCCCAGGGAGCTGCACTCCTCGTCGCAGCCATGCCCGACCAGGCTGCCGTACCAGCCCTCGGGGGGATGCTGAGCCCTCAGAGGTCCGGGTGCAGCAAGAAGACGCGCACGGACGGCTGTTCAGAATACCATTAGGTCGGGCGTGTCCCCCTGCAGGTGGATTTTGGTCGAAAGAATAAAAAACAGTCACAAAATGTTCCAAAAATGCTGGAAAAAATAGTCGAATGATCGTCCCCAGACTATTTGTTTGACTATTTTTGAGTATTCCTCCTGTAGCTCCGCCTGGGACTGCCGACTTCGGCTTTGAGAGCCTCGAGCCTGGCCCCCGAGCACCCGAGGCCTCGGCGGCGGGCAAGCCCTCCCTTTAGTGAGCAACTCCTCCGTAGCGATTGGTACTTTGTGGGAAATGGGCAACACACACGCTCTGGCGATGATGTTTTGTTGCTCGGCCAAGACTCTGCAACCTTGGCTGTATCCTTGCTTGCTCAGCGAGTTCGAGCAAAAATACTATTATGTAGAGATGCGCTGCCTGCCGTCAACGTTGGTAATTTGTGGGTGGGCAGGTACGGGGGGTGGTGGGTGGCTAGGGAGCAGAGGGTGGGTGGTGGGTGGTGGAGGCGGTGGTCGGTGGAAGTGCTGGCAGTGGCTGTGGCGACAGCAAGTGGTTCCGAACAAACATGTGCATCCGAGGGGGTGCAGACACACCTCCTAAAGGATGAGCGTGAACGTTTGCCAGCGTAGACCCAAAACAATAAATTCATCCACTGCGGATGTCTACGCTACATGGTGCTAGCTATGTATGTTGTCTGAGTGATGTAGTGCATCTACGTTAAGCAAGCTATGTGGTGTAAGCCAAGCTGTGGTGCAAGCTGCGTGGTGTAAGCTATCTAGTCCAAATTGTGTGGTGCAAGCTATGTGGTGTACGCTATACGGTGGTGTAGCAATCTACGTGGTGCACGCTATGTGGCGCAGGTTGTGTGGTGCAAGCTATGTGGTGAAAGCTATGAGGTGCAAGCTACGTCGTGCAAGCGATGTGGCACACTGCACGTGGTGCAAACTGCATTCCCCAAACAGTGTTTTCATTCAGGGGTTTTCGCTTCTTTTCTAAGAAACTGGGCCTGTGGGCTGGTCTGTCGGCTCCGTGCTCGCCGTCGCCACCTCTTTGCCGCCCGTCCTGTGGGCCTGCGGGCCCGTCAGGCGGTTCGGTGCTCGCCGTCGCCAGCTCATCGCAGCCTCGTCGATGCTTTGTTTTGCATTGCGTTGCTTTGCCTCGTTTTGCCTTGATTTGCATCGCACTGCTTTGCAATGCGTTGTTCAATGGTATTGCTTGGTGTTGCATGGCATTGCTTGGTGTTGCGGCGTGTTGCATGGTATTGCTTTGCATTTATTTGCGTTGATTTGCATCGCTCTGCATTGCTTTGCGTTGCTGCGCGGTGCTTCGCATTGATTTGCATCGCCTTGCATTGCTGTCTTGTTTCACATTGCTTTGCATTGCTTTGCGTTGCTGTGCGTCGCATTGCTGCGCGCTCCGTTGCTCAATTATCATTTCTGGAAAAAATACACTCCCCCCCCCCCCCGCAGACGCGCGCGTCGTCGCGCGCGTATGCCGAAAACCTTCAAAACCCATCGGTTTCGGAAGGATTTCAAATTCGTGTCCAAAAAACCTACAAACACGCAAGGTTTCGCAACACGGATGTTCAACAAAAGCGTGCGCGCGCGCTCTTGCGTCGTCGTCGTCGTCGCCGTCCTCCCTCCTCCCGAGTCGTCGTCGTCGTTGCCTACGTCGTCCTCTGCCTTTCCTCGTGTTCGTCGTCGTCGTCCTCTTTGGCGTCGTGGCCGTTTCCGTCGTCGTTGTCGCCGTGGTCGTCCTTCCTCCGCATCCCTCGTCGTCGTCGTCCGTCGTCGGCGTCTCGTCGTCGTCCCTCCTATTTCGTCGCCGTCGTCGTCGTCATCGTTGTCGTCGTCGTCTTCCCTCCTCCCTCGTCGTTGTCGTCGTCGCCGTCCTTCCTCCCTCTTCGTCGTTCGCGTCGTCGCCGTCCTCCCTCCTCCCTCGTCGTTGTCGTCGTCGTCGTTGTCGCCGTCGTCGTCTTTCCTCTTCCCTCGTCGTCGTCATCGTTGGCGTCGTCGTTTTCGTCGTCGTCAGCGTCGTTGTCGTCGTCGAAGTCGTCGGAGGCGTCGTCGGTGTCGTCGTACTCGTTGTCGTCGGTGTCGTCGTAGTCGGTCTTAAGAAGTTTTGTAAACCAAGTTGCGGGTGGGTGAGGGGATGTTTGCAAGAGCGTGGGATGTGTCAAATCATTGGTAAAAAGTCAAAGTGCACCACATAGATTGCACCACATGGTGTGCGCCACGTAGTTTGCACAACACGTATTGCAAAACAACGCACGGTGTTCCAAATCGGTTGTCCCGCATACATTGGTCAACATAGGTTATACAACATATGTTGGAAGAGACGCACTGTTCCGGGCCCGCGCTGGTAAATATGATGCAAAACACATGGTGCAAACGATGTGGTGCAAGTATGCGGCGCAAACTGACATATGTAAGCGATGTAGTGAAAAAAACATGCGCAAGCGACGTGGTGCAAGCTAAGTGGTGCAAGTCATCTAATCTGAACTACGTGGCGCGACCTGCGTGCGCCCGCCGCACTCAGTAGCGCCCTCCACGCGCTCAATCCATTTTCCGAAGTTGAACAGCTTCCTCAGGCGAGAAATCAAATCGAGCATAGTTATATATAGGTGTATATTTAGAGAGAGATACAACCTCCAACACATCATCTGCTTCGACAACGACGAGACCCGAAAATTGTTCTGGGCGCCCATCAAGAATCTAGCACATGAGCACGACGCAGGGAGCCAGAGGATGGCGGGCGAAGTCATACTCTGCACAAAGCAACTTGGGAGGGCCCTGCCGCCCCTGTCCAGGCACGACGCACCCTCAACGTTGGGTGCGGCGCTCGCGTCGGCGGCGGCCCGCTCGACCGCGCGCGGCGAGCGGCGCCCTCCTCCGACGCCGAGCGCGCGGGCGCGTGCACCCACACAGGGCGGTGAGGGTGGGCAACGCGACGCGCGCAAGGCGGCCGCGCGCGACCCGCGAGCGCCCGCTCGCGCGCCACAACATGGTCAACCTGCGCGCACGGAGGGCCCGCGAGCGGCGCGGGCCCCCCCCTCCACGCGCCCTGGCCCCCCCTGGCATGGCTGCTGCTGCGCGGGCAACGCCAACCGCCAGGCAGGACCGCGCTAACGCGCCAGGGCTGCGTCGCGCGCCCAGAGGGCACCCCCGCTGCTGGACGGGCGCATTTGCGCGCGCTAACCCTGCGCCGCGCGCGCCCGACGCACGGCGCCCCGCGCCCTTTGCGAGCGCGCACAACCGCGAGTCGCGTCGACGCGCAGCATAAAAGCCCTCAAAAGACTTCTGCGCCAGCCTGGAAGGCCGGCACCGATTCCATAAACTTCTGTCAGTAGTTCAATCGCCAGCAATTCGTCGGGGCCCCCACAAGGAATGCCGCCCGCAGGGGGCGAGGCAGAAAGACATTATCCCCGCTGATTTCGGAGCACTTGAGCGAAAGCCGACTCGACGTCACCCACCCAAGCTGTTGCCTTGATAGAGGACAGACATTGCAGAGCAAGAGGTACGTCTGATGTGAAAGGCGCAGGCACGGTCCGATGCAACGCGGGGATGCCGGGGTCATAATTATCGAATAATCCGTCGCGGCTTAACATCGCAATTCTTTGGGGCAACAGGATCATCAAGCTGGCCGTCGCAGTCCGCTCGTCGATATTTCACTTTGTCGCGCCGTCGAAATGGAATATGTCGTTTTGGAAATTTGCGGCCGATCCCTGCGGCAGCCGCGCCTCTGGGGACAGGCACTGCGTTGGTGTCGTCAGGTCCAGCAGCGCAAATATCAAACCATCATGAACGACGGCTGCCGGTAGGTCCAAGAAGCCGCCGCTTAAGATGACCGGGCAAACGAATGGTGTGAATTCCCGATGAAGGCTGCTTCTGATTGACGGGATGCGTAGATGACTCCAGATCGGGAGTCTCGTGCGCCCCCAACAAAGCATCTGCGACCGGAACGTCATGACTGCTGCGCGCGCAGCAAGTAACCAGCTCGTCTGCGAAATCTGCAGAAGAATAACCACGCGGCGCAATCGTAGTCGGCACCAGCGGCGGTTGGCATGACGAGGCAGTAGCGGGCCAAGGCATACCTGAGCCTCGGGCAGTAGCACTCGAGCCCCCCCCCCCGGCGCCCCTGCCACAGCAGGCCGTCTCGACCCCGGCTCGTTCTGCGGTTCAGCGGGTTGGGGCAGCGTCTACAAGATCGAACTTGTCCATCGTCGCTTTGAAGCGCGGTTCGCGTCAATCCAGGTTCGTCACAACCTTCCGCCATAGGCCACGATCACGGTTCTTCTGGCGGTGGCGGCCGCGGTTCCTGGTCGGCACCGATGTCGGACTCGTCAGTCGTCGGGGATGTCATCGGCCTCTGCCGCTTCAGGGTAGAGTAGAGGCTCGTCTCCAGGGAATCTCGGATTTCCTTCTCTGGCGACGTCAACGCAGCGACGAGCTCCACGAGCGCGCTCGAGATCAATCTTACGGTCGCGAAGGTGGCGATTGACGATCTCGATGCCTCCACTCTCATCTTGGGTGGCACTGCGCATTTGTTCGTTAGACGCACGCCACAATGCTCCCCGCATGTTAATCAGAGCCCCACCAGCAGTAGGTGAAATGATAACACCAGGCCGAGCCATTTTCCTGAGCCAACTCGTCCTTGTCTCCAAACGAACACGAATTGACCTTCCGTGGAAGTAGTTGGTATACGGCGTCTGGCACGGAAGACTCGGAGTAGTCGAGTTCGGCTGTCCATAGCAGCCCACGCTTTCATCGCGGCTCGGCGTAGCTCTTCCGCTCGGTGGAATTCCTGCACCACATCGGTGGACAGGCACTCGGGATCTGTGGGATCATCGGAGAGCAGCGTCGCTGGTAGACGTTGTGTAAAACCTATACCCGCTGCATCGGTAAAGAACCATTCCGATTCCGGCGACGGCTCCGACACAGCAGCA